TTCCTGGAGCTCAGCATTCTCAACTGTCAGATTTTAATATATTCTTCTTTAGATAATTGTTTAATTATTGTATCTGAAAAAAAAAAAAAAAAAGCCTTTCACAGCCATCAAACACTACATATAAAACTATCCTCCAATCCTGGATTTTGAAAAATTCTTCCCTGTAACTTCAGCAAGGCGGCATCTGGGTGGCACCTAAGCATTCCCACATTCCTGAAGATAAAACTAGATAGAAACCAAGGCTGCTCAGGTGAGGGAGGAGCAAGCAGAAGAATTACAGTCACCTTTATGGGGTTTCTTTCATTTAATGGTCTCAAAAATATTTTTAAATCTTTGCAAAATGGAAGCAAGGATGTAACTTGACCTGAATCATATCAAGCTAATAAAGAATGCAGTGCAGTAGAAATGAGGTTTTAATGGCAAAACTCCGTCTATACTAAAAATACAAAAATTAGCCAGGGGTGGCGGTGTGTGCCTATAGTCCTAGCTACTTGGGAGGCTGAGGTGGGAGGATCGCTTGAACCCAGGAGGTGGAGGTTGCAGTGAGCCGAGATCACGCTATTGCACTCCAACCTGGGTGACGAGGCTCTGTCTCAAAAAAAAAAACGAAATGGGGTTTTAGATCAGAAAAACCAGGGCTTTACACTCAGCTCTGCTGATCTTTCTGAAATTTAGTAGAAATTGCATAGTTCTCTGAGGCAAAGTTGGATTATTTGTTATATGGAAATGTCAGCGTCTACCACACGGTTGTTGAGAGGATTACATAAAACGTCTTAGAAGTCCCCAGTGCAGTGCTGAGCACCTACTGGGTGGGAGAGTCAAAAGGTATACAGCCAATCCTTATTACTTGCAGATTCTACATTTGCAAATTCACCTACGTGTACTCACTAAAGTGTATTTGCAACTCCAAAATCAGTAATCATGGTGCTTTTGTGGTCATTCCCAGGCATGTGAAAAGTGGTGAAAACTATAGACACTGACAAGCATGTTCCCAGCTGAGTTGAAATAACAGGACACTGCCTTCTTGTTTCAGCTCTCATCCTATAAACAAGTGTCCCTCTCGCAGTCTGTGTAATGCCACGTTTTTTCCAAATTTTGTACTTACTGTTGGTGGTTTTGCAGTTTAAAATGGCCTCCAGCAAAGTGCTTGAAGCGCTGCCTAGTATTCTTAAGCCCAAGAAGGCTGCGATGTGCCTTATGGAGAAAATACAAGTGTTCAATAAGATTTGTTCAGACATGACTCCTAGTGCCGTTGGCCACGGGTTGTCTTGTTCTATCCGGGCCCTCAATGGATTAGATGGCTCCCACCCACAATGGTGAGGGAGACCTTTACTCCATCTACAGATTCAAATGCTAACCCGCTTTGGAAACACCTTTACAGATACACCCAGAAATTATGTTCTACCAGCCAGATGGGCAGCCCTTAGCCCAATTAAGTTGACACATAAAAGTAATCATCACACTCTGTGTTCATGACAACTTTCTAAACATAACTATAGTGAATAATGAGAATTGACTGTATTTTGTTTAGTTCCTATATTGGATAGGTTCAATATTAGTGGATAAAACAAATTAACTCAAAAATCTTCATGGCTTAACACAATGGGAGTTTATTTTTCACATTTGTAAAGTCTAATCAGGTGTTTGGCAGGTGGTCTTACAGGTGAGTCAGGGTCCCGGACTCCTTTCATCTTGTGACTCTGCCAACACATAGGACCTTTGCTACCAGTCAATGGGTGGAGAAAGAGAAAAGTTATGGGCAGAAAGTCTTTCTGAACCAGCCCAGAAGTAATAGCACATCACTTCGACCTTCATTGCATTAAGCAGAACTCAGTCTCGTGGTCACACCTAACTGCAAGGGAGACTGGGAGATGTAATCTAGCCATGTGCTGAGGGATTAAAGGAATAGCTCTGCCGCAGTTCTCCTTAAAGTCTCTCTATACAGTTATTTTTTCTTAAGTAAATGACAAAACCCTTAGGTAAGTGGTATTTCAGTTTTTAAAGGTTATTCTTCCAGGCCGGGCACGGTGGCTCAAGCCTGTAATCCCAGCACGTTGGGAGGCCGAGACGGGTGGATCACGAGGTCAGGAGATCGAGACCATCCTGGCTAACACGGTGAAACCCTGTCTCTACTAAAAAATACAAAAAACTAGCCGGGCGAAGTGGCGGGTGCCTGTAGTCCCAGCTACTCGAGAGGCTGAGGCAGGAGAATGGCGTGAACCCGAGAGGAGGAGCTTGCAGTGAGCTGAGATCCAGCCACTGCACTCCAGCCTGGGTGACAGAGCAAGACCCCGTCTCAAAAAAAAAAAAAAAAAAGGTTATTCTTCCCTACCCTTTCTGGTTTTTCACCAGGGGAAGCATTTCTGTCTCCTGTCATGTGTCTTAGTTAAAAGACGAGATCCTTATATAATGAGACCTCTCTATATTCTCTTGTTCTGTTAATACTTCAACCAACTCTTTAATCCTTGCTATAAATTTTTGACTGAAAATATTTTGCCATTGAATAAAAGATCATAAAAAAATAGACCCAGTGCCTCCTGTAAAAGAAACTGTTAAAATACAAATATCTGATAATTTATGCTTGTTCCAACTAAATTGTGGGCCTGCATCCAAGTTGCCTTAGCATCAGCCTGTAAAATGCTAACTGTGTCTGACCCTATGTCATTGTGTGTATTAGCTTAGTACACCATTAGTTTAGTTTTAGTAATAAAATAACATAGATGTTACCTGAAAGAAACAAGTACTACCCCATGAGATCTCTGCTCAATTTCACTACGGTTTTATGGTGTGGACTCTGATGAGTATTTTCTTTTTCTGTCTTTCCATTCTTGTTTTAATATCAAGGAATGAGGCAGTAACACAGTGATGATCAGGCTCCTTTTTTCAAGGAGCCTGAAATACTTCATAAGAAAAGTGTAGTTATGTACAACAATCAGCTTATGTACCTCCTTGGAACTCTTAGGAAAACTATGATGGACTCTTTCCCCAAAAAAGTTGTACTGACACACATATTTTATGCCATTTACAATTTTTATACAATTTTAGATTAACCCTGCTGGGAATAAAGATGGTACCATAAGATCTAGCAATTCCGCTCTTGCATATACGCTGAAAAGAATGAAAAGCAAGGTCTTGAAGAGATATTTGTACACCAATGTTCATAGCAGCATTTCTCACAACACCCCAAAGGTGAAAGCAACCCAGGCACTCACCAATAGATGAATGGTTCAACTAAATGGGGTGTATATGTACAATGGAATAATTCAGAATGAATTTCTGATCCATGCTACAACATGAATGAAGGTTGAAAACATTATGCTAAATGAAATAAGCCAGACTCAAACAGACAAATATTGTATGGTTCCACATATATGAGGTACCTAGACTAGACAAATTCATAGAGACAGAAAGTAGAACAGAAGTTACTGGGGGCTGAGGGGAGGAGACAGTGGGGAGTTATTGTTTTATGGGTACAGAGTTTCTGTTTGGCATGATGAAAAAGTTCTGGAAATGGATAGTGGTGCTGGTTGCACAGCATTGTGAATGCACTTAATGCCACTGAATTATGTACTTAAAAGGGGTTAAAATGATAAATCTGATATTCTTGGACTTTAGAACCTGTTAAGCCTTGGTTCCAATCCCAAGGCTTAGTTATAGTATAGGTGACTTTGAGCAAAAGAGTTAATGTCTCTGAACATCCTTTTCTTTACCTATAAAAAGGGGTATGCTAGGGCGTTGAAGCCCTGACCTTAGAAGATTATTATAGAAATAAGTGTGATTAGTGTGTCACATGATTGCCATTGATAAAAAGATAAAAACTAACATATTAGGTGAGCAAAATTCAGTGGACTATGCTAACAAGAAAACATCACATTACATAAATGCTTTTGGCCTCTGTGGAGACAAGAATATTAACATGAAAAAATATAAATGCCACAGGATTTTAAAGATGAAATAACAGAGGGACAGGCTTTGTTCTGGTCCTCCAGTGACTAAAGGGGCAGCAGGAACACAAAATCACCCCTGCCCAAGTGTGAGATTTATTTCAGTTTCTGCTTTGATTGTTTTTAGGTTCTTATATAGGTTTTTCCAATTCTTGTAAACTAATGGGGTTTTTCTTTAATACAGATTTTAAGTCCTTGCAATGTGCCTTGCTATGGGTTCTAAGACACACACCCACATACACACACATGCATGCACACATACAGGCTCCACACATTTATCTGGAGATCAGACCTCCTATAATATTAACTATTTGAAACAGAATCATGTTTGTAGAATCATGCCAAAAAGCCCCCTGCATAGCAAATACCAGATAGAAAGTCTAGGCAGAGGAGAGGGGTGGCCCATCCTCATCCAGATGGCTGTGTAGAAATGATGACACAGGAATAGCAGGGAAAGTAAGAGCTGACAGAAGAGAAAGAGGCAGGAAAATGACTAACGCCCTAAGCCTTGCTCGAAGCTGGCGTCCTGAGTTCATGTGGAGCCTGTGACATTCAGAAAAGGTTACATTTCATTCTATTTGCTCTGCTTAGGAAAATGGGAGTCTATGCAGAATGATTGAAAATGATAAAACTAAAAATTTAATGCTTAAGAGGTAGAAGTCAGTTATCTGGAAAAATTATTATGGAATGAAGAATTGCTATATATATACATATATATGTATATATTCTATTTGTGTTGCGACACAAATAGCTAAATTCTATCAGTTTTAACACCTAATTGTCTCTAGAATCTGGCTGCTTTTGTCAATCTCCAGCACTCAGCACAAGGCTTGCCTCACAGTGGGCACTCCGTGAATAAATTAATGAACAAGTGAATGAATGAATGAATGAACAGGTGAAAGAATCAAGCTGCCTATAATATGCGTATATCAAGATATGCATTTCCTGCATATAAGTAAAGAAATCCAAGTTTAAAGCCATCCTTTTTCTCTTTTTCAGAGCAGAAGCCACTCTCTTGGGACCATTCATAAGCAGGAGATATCAACACCGTGACACATGCCAGTGCCACCGCCGCCACCACCTCCTCTGCCTCCACCTCCCCCGCCTCTGGGGGCTCCTCCCCCTCCCCCACCATCAGCACCCCCGGTAAGACCTTTTTTTTCTGATTGATTTGCTGTGGAGCATAAACTGCTTGAATACACTTGAGCAGAAGGTTTTAAATGTTCAGAAGCAGCTCTGCCTACCTTCCCTGTGGCAGGTGGCATCTTAGGTAGCTGGATCTGGCAGTTTAGAGTCTGATTCCAAACCAGCCTGGCTCAGCCATTTCTCTCCCCATTCTTCAGCAGCTTCCACCTCCACCTCATTGGTCTACTGATGTCTACCTCATTTCCCTTCTCATGCCTGCTGCTTGGTACAGGCTCACGAGTCTGAGTGACTTTCTGTCTCACTGGAAACCTTACGTGAGGGGCCATGCCAAAGTGCACAGCCAATGAGGCATTGTGAAGTCAAGTTCCAGTGTGGAATCTGGATGGTGATGATGATAGCTTGAGCTTCCGTCCCCTTGTACTAGGCTCTAGTAAGCTAAGTGTAATAGGAAATGCCACAACGAAATATAAAATCCTTACATGAAGTTTCCCTATCTACACAAGATTGAATCAAGGCTATTTCAGTTTGTGTTGCTGAACGCTTTCTCTTGGTTTCATAGTTTGGTTTGGATCTAGAAGGGGGCCACTGAGGGTGGTCATTTTGTTTTGGAACAGGGATTCTCAGCCTTGGCACCACTGACATTTGGGGTCAGATTTTTTTTTGTTGTTTGAGCTATCCTATGCATTGTAGGATATTTAGCAACATCCCTGGCCTCTACCCACTAGATGCCAGTAGCACCCCTCCACAATTGTGGCAGTAAAAAAAATGGCCCTATATATTGCCAGATGTCCCCTTGTGGGGCAAAAATCACCACCACACACACACAGTTTCAGAAAAATGCTAGTGCTTAATGCTTACAGCAAACTTTTCCTCTAAAGAAAACCAGGAGCACTTCTCACACTCATTCTCCATTCCTCACACCACTTCAGTGAGGGACGTCTCGCACCAGCTCCACAGCTTCTGTTTTCAGTGGAAAAATGAACGAGATGACGGTACGGCACGCAGAGACAGGGCTGTTTAGGGATGGTGTGAGACAAGTCAGCAGAAGCCAGGAACAGAACCTCCCTGCCATCCTCCTCACCAGGTGCAGCCCTCCCTCAGATGCGCAGATGACATGGCCCTGAGGAGTGTTGGCTATGAAGGGAGAGCCTGCGGCCCCTGCTGCATGACCACAGGCCCTGGTGAGAGTGAGAGTATGCCTGAGATGTCACCCCATGTGACGTTAGTTTTGTATACCGACCCTATCTGAGGTGCCAAGGGCGTAGACCTGCCTGGACCTTGGCACTTGCCCTGCAAGAGAGTAAAAAGAAAGCACATAGTATAAATTACATTTGAGAGCTTTCTGACCAATATAAACAAAGAATAGGAATAAGTCTTGAAGTTTCACTGCTGAATTTGACCCAAAATCAAATTCAAGGTCAGTGCCACAAAGTGATGGTTTGTAAGTAAACACACATGAAGCTATCATATGGATCTTGCAAGCACTGAAGAAGTACAACTTAGAATAACTGCAAATACATGATGTACCCATAAATTTAGCCAGAGTAAATAAACTGAACAAAACCCATGTTATTGGAGGTTTGAGAAAATAATCCTTTTTAAACATTGCTGGTGACAGACAAATGTCTAGGACTCAGTAAAAGTTAAACAGGTCTTTCTGGAGTCTTCTCTAAGAAAACAGTAAATGTGTATGTATCATAGTTTTTCCCCTGATAATCAGGTAGTTTTATTTTTGAGACTGATTTAAGAATTTAACCCTAAAAATGCCAAAAAGAATTTATGCAAAGGATATGTCAAGCAATGCTATTTATTCTAGTGAAAAAATACATCTTAAATGGCTTACAAGAAATAAATGAAATGTATTATGTCATACTGTTAATTAAAAATTGCATTATGCAGTGATGGTAATTAAAACTTACATCTGGCGAGGCACAGTGGCTTACGCCTGTTATCCCAGCACTTTGGGAAGCCAAGGTGGGCAGATGTCCTGAGGTCAGGAATTCAAGACCAGCCTGGCCAACATGGCGAAACCCCATCTCTACTAAAAAATACAAAAGTTAGCCGAGTGTGATGGCAGGCGCCTGTAATCCCAGCTACTCAGGAGGCTGTGGCAGGGAGAATTACTTGAACCTGGGAGGCGGAGTTTTCAGTAAGCCAAGATTGCACCACTGCACTCCAGCCTGGGCGACAGAGTGAGATACCTGTCCAAAAAAAAAAAAAAAAAATTTACATCTATGCTAATATGGAAAAGTAGGTATAAAATGATGGATTAGAAACAACACACATTTTGTCTGGGCGTGGTGGCTCACGCCTGTAATCCCAGCACTTTGGGAGGCCAAGGCGGGCACATCACGAGGTCAGGAGATCCAGCATCCTGACTAACACGGTGAAACCCCATCTCTACTAAAAATACAAAAAAATAAACGGGGCATGGTGGCGGGCACCTGTAGTCCCAGCTACCCGGGAGGCTAAGGCAGGAGAATGGCGTGAACCCGGGAGGTGGAGCTTGCAGTGAGCTGAGATGGCGCCACTGCACTCCAGCCTGGGCGACAAAATGAGACTCCGTCTCAAAACAAACAAACCAACAAAAAACATATTTTGTGCATAATGAAATCAACTACTTAATATATGTGATAAATAACAAAGATCAGAAGAGAATTCGATAATGCTGACAAGAACATTTAATATTTCATTAGGGAATTCCTTCTTTAAAGATGCTTAAATGCGTAATAAAAAATAATTCTACCTTTGGTTAAATTTTTTACATTCTCTCCTTCATTTCTCTCTCTCTTTCTGAAGAACAGGTCAATTTAGGAGTAAAATAATCACGTAAATTTTAATATTTTCTTAAAACGTATTTTCTACATTTATGTAGAAAAATAACATGTATACTTACAATACATGTTAAAGGCAAATAATTAACGTCTTTAGCATATAAAGAGCTCTTACAGATTACTATGGAAATGATGAATGCAAAGATGGGTACAGGATATGGTTAGATTGAAGAAATACGAATATATTAACCTCACTACAGTTTAATAAGAACAAATTAAAATAATGAAAAACCATTTTTATCTATCAGTTTAGTGCGATACTTTTTAAATGTTGGCTGGAGTATTAGGAACTAGGCACTTATAACTTTTGGTGGAAGCAAAACTTGGTGAAATGCCCTAAGATACAATTTGTCAGTAAAAAACGGACCTAGTTTCACTTCAAGTAATTTTCTTGACGTGGCTTCACTTCAGGTAATTTTTATTTAAGTAACTAATCATAGATATACAGAAATATATAGCTATAGAAGATTAATGAAAGTATTACTTGTAATAATAACCAAAAAGAAAGAAACAAAAAACAACCCATATTTTTTATGATAGGAGATTCAATAATGTATTATATATTCTCTCAATGGTATATGAAGCAGCCATTAAAATCATTCAGAATTATAAAGAAGAAAATGATAAATGTTGGCAAGGATGCAGAGTGATGGAAACTCTCATACACTGCTGGTGGGAGTGTAAATTGATATAAACCCTTTGGAAAACCATTTGACAGCACCTACCACAGTTAAACATGTGCATCTTAGGTAGATATCCAAGAGAAGTGTGTGCCTGCATGACCCAAAAGACATGTTAAGAACGTTTGTAGCAGCATGAATAGCACAAAACTGGAAACAACCCCCCGTGTCCATCAACGGCAGAATGGATTGATAAAATGTGTGTGATGGTCATGCTATAAAGTAATATACAGCAGTGAAAATGAATCAACAATACATGCAACAACATGGAGGAATAGCCACCTGACAAGAGAATACATGCTGTATGATCCCATGTATATAAAGCTCCAAAACAGAAAAAAAATAAACTACAGTGTTTAGGAATGCAAGACAAGCTGGTAGAATTATGAGGAAAACCAAGAAAGGGATCACCGTAAAATCAGGAGATGGCACCCTTTGGGAGGAGAGTGGGGGACTCAGGATCAGAAAGGCCCTGGGTGCTTCTAGAGTGCTGGCAAGACTCTAATTCTTGACATAGGTGGCGATGACATACAGTATCACTTTATAGAAACATGTTAAACTACACAAAATTATTTTATGTGCTTTTCTATTTGTGGTACTGGACAATTTAAAAGGTTAAAAGAGAAAAAAAAATCATATCCAAATTGATTTGTAACTTCCAGTGTCATGATTGATTCAGACAAGGATCATCCATGAAAGCTAAAACCAGAGTGAAAGGTTGTGGGGGAAAAAGATGTTCTCAGGGTCAGAAGTATCACCCATAGATGCTTCTTACTGCAAAGGGGAAAACGTCTCTTTAAAATGCATCAAACTTACCGTCACGTGTAATGGAATGACCTCCTATCACAAGCCTCTGCTGGATACAAGGAGGCGCACAGAGCGTCACCCTGTGGTAATCTGCCCAGAATGAGTGACCTCATGAGCAAGCAATCAGACACATGCAGAATATGGGACCTTCTGCAACAAAGGCTGGCAAACCAGGGCCTCTGGGCCACAGCCAGCTCACCACCTGTTTTTTATCATCCTCCAGCTAAAACTGGTTTTTACATTTTCAAATGGCTGGAAAAAAAATTAAAAGGAAAGTAATACTTTGCGACACATGAAAAGTATATGAAATTCACATTTCAATCCATAAATAGTGTTATTGGAGCACAGCCACACTCATGCATTTTGTCTATGACTGTTTTTATGCTACAGCAGCGAACACCAATTAAGCAAAATGTTATTCCTCAAAGAATTCCATTCTTCTCACTAGTAGGCTTGAATTTTAAAAATTTTCCTCAATTATTATTACTATGTTCTGAGTTTTGTCAGTAAATATTTTGTGGAAGTTTGTTTTCTCTTTTGTTATATGAGTATATACATTGTATTGTAGATTTTTTGCCTTTTGGCCCACATGCCTAAAATATTTACAGCCTGGCCCCTTCCAAGAAAAGTTTGCCAACACCTGTCCCGCAGTCAGCTGGGCTCATTCAGCCTCTCATTC